ATCCCGCTGAGTTGCCGAGTACCGGAACATAGTTTGGAGATCGTAGCTGCCGCTCTTGGTGAGACGAACGTTGAAGAATAATATTGTCAGTCGCCGGTTTCATTGTCGGGCGGATCGCGCTATTAAAGTTTTGTTGTCCGCGTAATCGTATGTTCGTGTGTAGAGTCTGTGTGCCGCGCCGTCCGCTCGGCATAAGGTTACGCGAATTGAGTAGAGTAATTGCGCTCGCTGTGCCACAGCTGGGTCATTTGTGCGTTAGTTAAGTGTTATTTCGTGTTTCTTTCCTGTTAATAAGTTGTGCGAATTATTGCGTGTTGGCGTGCCGAATGTCGGCAGGATTTCGGAATATCGCGACGCCACGTGGCGTGTGATCCGTCGTTACGCCGTGCGAGGCGTACTCGCGTACAGCGATCGGATATTTCGCGGATTGGAAATGGCGTAAGAACGAAAGCTCGTACACCGGTCAGTCCTCGTAACTGATGAGAAACGAACGGTTGCCGCTCTGTCACACGCGGCCTGAGAGAACATTTGTATCTCGCAGTACACGTAATTATATTTGTTATCTGTTATAGAAAACTCTGTGTATTCGATCTTGCCCTTGCTCTTCCACATTCCTCCGCGCTCCACGAACCGCCCCTCTTTCCGAACCGAATTTCGGGGCTGAGTTGCCGGCCATCGGAATCGTTCCAGATCGTGGCAGTCAGGAGTTAGAGCGCCTTAATCTTTTCGCGTCGTTGCGTAACGGACAGCCTACGCGTATCCGAGATTACGATTCGTGCAGTAATTCGAAGGGTGGCACGCCCGCTCGTGCCTGGCGCCCAACTTCGCGTTTTCAGTTGCCGCGTGATTCCGAGCTATCGAGATCACTGTTATTCGCCCTGACTGTAGCGACGGCTAACGATCGATCTTGTTTTCCGGCTTGCAAAAGACGGTTACAATATATAACATATATGTCTGTTATTTTACATGATAAATTTTATATATATATGTATATATATATATACCTATATATATATCAATCGAATAGTGTGACGACAATTTTTAGTATGCATTGATTACTTTGACTACTTCTGACTATTTTGACGACTGTCGTCAAAATTGTAGCGGTCTACCGAATAGTTTAACGACGTCGTGAAATTAACTCGAAACAGTGAATTGACTACTTTTACGACTATGTATTTTGACGACAATGTAGGTGTCTAGTGATGATTTTGACGACAGTAAAAAAACGCTGTTAAGAAATAAAATAAAGATGTAGACATGCTAAAAACTGTTTTCACGCACATTTTTATATTTCTATAAAAATAATTATGTGAAAATTAAAGTTATAAATTATAATTAAAATAATATACACTATGTACGTTACTTTTTTGGAGTTCTATTTATAATTTATAATGTTTTATATTTTTCAAATTCTGTTTATAATTTTTTTAACTACACATTGAGTACAGTCAACATAACTAACACTTGTTTTAAATTTGAAAGTATAGAAAAGTAATTATAAAAAGAATTACGTCGGAACAAAAATTATAATGCTTAAATTAAAATATTTATATAACAAAGATTATAAGTTCCACACTATACTGAGAAGTTCTAGTAGAATCTTTTCTTTTGTAAAGTAATCTATATGTTACAATGTCTCACCAAAGTAAATATATGTAGAAAACATATAATGAAACTACAAAAACTTTAAATAAACTAAACATCAAATATTGTAGGAGACATTTATTGCAATTTTCAAATATTATTTATAAAAATATGTTAATTTTGTAGTTTTGATTTGGATAGCTAATGTATCCGCGGAGAAATCTACCTGTTTTGCATGCCTCGGTATTGTAGGAATCCTTGAGTGATGCAATATCAGATTTTAAAATCAAACCTCTGTGTATGGTATTTGCGAAAAAAAACATTTTTTCCGTCCTCTTAAGTAGATCCTGCTTTATAGAGTTTTGTAGGTTGTACGATCGTAAACAAATAGATTGCGACATTTTTATAATATAATTTGATTTCGGAACGTAGTAAAATTTTGCAAATGCAAATCACGATTGGTGTACTATCTAGAAACTAAAAATAGTACACCAATCATAGTTCGAATTTGCAAAATATTAGTACATTCCGAAAGCAAATAAAAAAAGTGTCACAACGTGTTTGTCAACGACCATGCACAGAAAAATGTAAGTAATAAGCGAATCGATCAATCACAGTTGAGAATGTAAGATAATAACATAAGCAGTAGCAAATCAAACATGTTGATTTGCCTACTGGTTACCTTTTTATGTGCTAGGATCTGCTAGGGTCTGCTAGGGTCTATAGGCTCCGATAAGTTTTAAGTCTGTTCACAATGCTACAAATCGATTCGAGATCTAGGACTGAGAGAGAACTGAACAAACGCATTTGGACAATTCTGCATATGTTTGGATAAAAGGTTTGTTCTTTTTAACTAAATTTTTTGCTTAGCGTTAATCTCTACATTGGAAAGAAAAAGAAGAAAGATGAACGGAGCGAGTTCAGCTAAAAAAAATTTAATATTATCAACATATGTTTTGTATGTCTAAACTATGTAGTTATTAGGAATAATTCACACCTTGACAAAAAAGCACAAAACAGAAAAGCAGAAGCCAATCAGAACTCGCGCTGGTAGCAAGAAAAGCAGAAAAGAAAGTATCGACTACCAGCGCGAGTTCTGATTGGTTTCTGCTTTCTGTCAAGGTGTGAATTCACCTGCAGGAAACGTACAAGACAACATTAATTAAACTTTACTAGATTCCCGCCTTTCCGCGCGTTTTGTTCCGTCTTGTTTGATTACCCTATATTACATGGAGTATATTTTAAGCGGAAAAGCGGAACGGAAAATTATAAATGATTAATTTTTAGTAATATTTATTGATTAAAATGCTTGTACTTAATAGATAAGGTAAGTATAATAAAAATTGTAATGAATTAAGTAACCACAATTTTTAAAAATGATTATACATGTCACCAAACCTTTTCGCTTTTTTATGAAAATTGTGCTCCATGTAATATAAGATAATCAAAGTACGGAACAGAACACGTGAAAACGCGGAAATCTGGTAAATTTTATTTAATTCTGTTTTCCACGTTTCTGCATTTTCGCATTTCCGTGCTTCATGTACATACTAGCACCTACATACACTCGTAATACGTAATAAAAAGATAGAAATATTTTTGAAATTTTTAGCGAAAGTGGGAAAAGAATTTTATTACAGTCTAATGTTGCAGCAACAAAGAACTGACTCCATATTTGTGTAAAGTATACAAAGCTTTTATATTTTAATTATTATACATAATATATATATATATTTATTTAACAATATTTATATCATTAATATACATTGGCTCTTTTTTTATGCGCTAATTATGGAAAGTACAAAACTTTTGCTTCATATACTAAGAAACTAAAATGCTAAATTAATTTTAGACCTAATATATATTAAAAGTAAATGCATAGCAAAACAATATTTTTTTGTTTTAACATTTTACAATGTGTAAAGTCTGCATCAGATTATGCATTAAAGATTGAAATTGTACCAAATTTAATTGATCAGAACGAAAATATATTATATAATTAATAATAATAAGTGAATATTTATTATGTAATTTCAAGGAATTTCAATTTTCAATGTATAAATCTGATGCGAGGTTAACAATAACTAAAATGCTAAATTAATTTCAGACATAATATATGCTAACAGTAAATGCATTGCAAAAAAAATATTCTTTGTTTTCACATTTTACAATGTGTGAAGTATTGGATTATGCATTGAAGAAAAAAATTATAAAAAATTTAACTAATCAGAACAAAAATTTAATGTATTATTAATAATAATAATAAACGAATATTTATTATGTAATTTTCATAGATTAATTTCAAATTTCAAGGAATTTCAATTTTCAATGTATAATCTAATGCGGAATTAATACAGACATACAAAGCAATAGATATACTGTCAAATGATTAGATAATACATATACACAAATAACTAATTTAATTTTTTTTACTTAAAATATTTAGTATCGTAATTGTATATCATATTTCTATATGTCAGGTACAATACATGCACAATATAAATTGAAAAACAGTATAAATTAAGAATATAAGATATACGTGCGCACGATATAAAATTTTTTTTTTTTTTAAGCATATTATGCATCTATCATTATATTCTTATATTATATTTGCAATAGATCACTTGCAGATATAATATAAGAACATAATCTTTATCTTTTCTAATATAAGAACACAGTCATTATCTTTTCTTACTCTACATTTATTGCATATGATTGACTAGGTAGTTTCTATAATTTAACACTTGTAGCGATATGATGTATTGATTCTTGCGTTGATATGATGTAATTATCATTATTAAGATCAATGAAAAAAAAGATTGATTAAAGTAAAGCCTTATTATTATGCCTATGCATCTATCGTTATATTCTTATATTATATGTGCAATAATGATCTTTTTCTTGCACTGCACTTATTGCATATGATCAACTAGGCAGTTTCTATAACTACCACGGATTATACTGCTTGCTCAAAATGCAAGGGATTTTTCGCCAAAAGTACAACAATATCGGACGTTTTTTGTTAGCATTAAAGAAAATTAATGAGGATATCGAAGATTTCCAATCCTAATCTTAATAAATATCATCATAAAATTTATGATCACTGCATCAAACCAATTAATATATTAGGTTATAACAACAAAGAAAAAACATATCAAGCACCCGCCACTGCATCTACATTATCAACACTAATTAAACAAATAGGAAACATCTTTACTGCAGAATGCATTAAGACAGATGATACAAAAAAAAAGAAAGCAGTCAAAGATTTTTCGAAATTGTTAACTGATATTGAAACCAAGCCTGTAACTGAAACACAAACAGCTAACAAAAGACATAAAAAAATCATTCTTTTATCATTAGAAAATATTAACTCTTTATACAAATATTTGACAAAAACTAGAACGGAAGTTTATATGGCGTTATAAAGTTCTTTTTCTTATTCCAAATGACTCTTTTTAGCAGAGGTAATTACATTAACATCTATTCACGTATTTAACAGACGGCAGCCAGGAGAAATAGAAGGATACTTATTTAAGACTTTAACACTTACGAAAAAGTAAATGAACATATGAATAGCGATATATAAATCATTATCAACAGAAGATAGACAAATTTCTCAATATTTAGAAGTGAGGTTCAAGGAGATACACAATTAGATAACGAATCTTCATCAGATTATGAAGACGAAAATCTTAACGATTCTTTTAACGATAATGATATTATAATCGATATCGCTGCTCATAACCTCCAATTATATTAATTGCTTCGATGCAGTTATCATAAATTTTAGGATGATAAATTGATTGAAAATCTTCGATATCCATATTAATTTTCTTTAACACCGAAAATAACGTCCGAGAACACGTACCTAATCAAGCTCATCATATTATATTGATATATCATATTATATTGATGTTGATCAATGTATTTCGTGCAAAATTTATTTGCATAGAAAATTAATACCACATTGTATCTAATTATACGTGAGACTTCGTCATCTCTCATTACAGGAAACACTATTTTTATTGTTTCATTTGCTAAGTAATGCATTCTGTAAGTTACTCTTCTATCCATAATCATAATACTCTTATTATTGCTGAAATTCTTTTTATGACAATTACTTGTATGGTAACGTATTGTTTTTAGCGAAAAATCCTTTGCATTTTGAGCAAGCAGTATAATCTGTGGCAGTTTTAATGGAAGTTACCTTAGGGAGTCTATATACAATTAATTGCCCGGTATTTATGTTTCCATTTGTGTTGAATATGAAATTACCTTGTTTTTGTAAGATATCTATTATCTTCTTTCTTACCTAATTTTTTTTGGCAAAACAACGAATTTTTTACTTCAACTTTATCACGATGCACTGTTTCTAAGTGCCGTGCAAGTTGAGATTGCAGTTTATGACAGAAAACATACAATAGTTCTGTTTAGACTTAACGTTACTTTTAACGACATTGCTTCGTCATTACATGCTAATGTACCGATTTCATTTATTTTTGAAGTATCTAAACTGGATTGCAAAGATACAGAATTTCTTACATCTGAATCCTTGTGTAGACTTATATCATCTGATTACATATATTCATTTTCTGAAGGTATATACTCGTATTCATCATTATTTCTGGTATCTGATTATCTATATTTA